GAATTGACTTCTGTAAGTTGAACTATGACCTTCACATGTACACTGTGGCATGACCATGTATGTAAACACAACACATACACACAGACACATATACTCAGACACAGAAACACAGACACACACACACTGATGACACACACACTTAAATAAATGTAAAGAAGCAATATTTAAAAGTACATCTGATCTTGCAGTTTTGCTTGTGGGGTTTTTGATTCAATCTTATTATAGACCTGAGCCATTTTTTTTTTTATTTTATGGATTTATGTCATTTATTTTAACTAAGTTCATTCTTCTCCTAAGATAACTAAATCCTCTTTTCATAACCCTTTTTAAAAGATTTATTTATTTATTAATTATATATACAGTGTTCTGCCTGTGTTTATGTCTGCAGGCCAAAAGAGAGGGCACCAGATCTCATTATTGATGGTTATCAGCCATCTTTTTGGTTGCTGGGAATTGAACGCAGGACTTCTGGAAGAGTATCAGTGCTCTTAACCTCTGAACTATCTCTCCAGTCCCCTTTTCATAAAACTTTTGCCCTTTTTGTCCCCACTTTATTTCAACCCTGCTTTTATCACTTTCCTCTAAGTTTGTGCCTGGCCTTTTCTTGTTATTCTAGAGCCTTGAGGTGCAGCCTGAGGTTATTTGAGAACTCCTTCGTACTGTTTTGAGGCAGGATCTCTTTAGGGAGCCCAGGCTGGCTGCAATCTCCTGATCCTTCTGCGTCAGCCTAGCAAGTGCTTGCATTATGGGTGTGCACCACCCTGCCTGGCTCATGATTTCAAATACAGGTAAAACTGTAAGACTTCCTAGAACTGCCTTATCTGTATCCCAAAAGTTCTGCCTAATTGTCTTTTCATTTTCCTTTGACTCCAAGAATTTTTCATTGTCCTCATTGATTTATCCAATGACCCATCAATTATTCAGAAGTGTCTTTGTTCAATCTCCATGTGCTTGCATATTTTCTGTAGTTTAACAAACTGTTAATTTCTAGTTTTATTCAAATATGATCTCATACAATACAAAAATTAATTGCTTTTTAAATATTTGCTAAGACTTAAATGTGATTTATTTTGCATTTGCTGAGGAGAATGTATTTTGCAGATGTTAGAATATTTTTTGTGTCTTTGTACATGTATGTGTTCGTGTGGGTGTGTACACATGGCTGTGCATGGATATGGATGCCAGAGTCAACATTGTCCCCCCCCCCCCCAGTTGCTAAACACCTTATTTTTTGAGACAGCAGGCTCTCACTGAGCCCATTAATTTAGTGAGGGTTGCTGACAGATAAGCTTCAGGGCGTTTCCTCTCTGCTCCTACCTGCTCCAGCACAGGAGTAGATATGAACTGCCCTTTTGGCTTTTACTGGGTGCCGGGGGCTGGATTCAGGTCCTCATGCTTGCATGCAGGCACTTTATCAAATGAGCAGTCCTGGCTCCAGGAAATTGCTTCTCATGGTTCTTAAGTGTGACATTCTGATTAATCAAATATTCTGGCTACAATCATTATTTTGTTATATAACTTGGATTACAGATTTTTTTAAAAAAGCATGGGCATTAGAAATAATATATTAGCCAGGTGTGGTGGCACACACCTTCAATCCAAGCATTTGGGAGCAGTGGCAGGCCGATTTCTGTGAGTATCAGGTCAGCCGTGGCCACACAGTAAGACCTTGTCTCAAACAAACAAACAAACAAACAAACAACAAACAGAAAAGCAACAACATTCTCCAAAACAAAACAGAAAGCTAATGTTATGTTAAAGTTGGACCTGGTAACACAGGCCTGTAATCCCAGTACTCGGGGGGGCTAAGGCAGGCAGATGACAAGCAGCAGGCCTGGCTGGGCTACAGAGTAAGTTCAAGTCCTGAGGAACTCAGCAAGACCTATATAAAAGATAAAGCAAAATAAAATAGGCACCCAGCTCAAATGACATACCTTACAATAAAACTACTAGGGATTTAGAGACAGGAAGATAAGGAGTTCAGCAAGGTCATTCTCTGCCACTTTGTGAGTTGGAGACCATCCTGTGCTATAAGGAACCCTGTCTCAAGACAACAGCAATCAAAACCACAGATAAACAAAAGAGTTAATAGTATGAGGGAGAAGGATGCTGTGAGCCTTAGCATCTCTGTGCATGCCAAGAAACTCTGAGAACTTGTTGGTCTCTATAAAGTACAGTGTTTGGAGTCTGAGGGACAGAGAGGTTCAAAAGGCCATTCTTGCCTCTTAGAAGATTGATCAGTTTACAAAGGGTTGCAGTTTAATAAATGTTTAAAGGATTATTCGGTCAAGGTTATATACATGTTTTTTACTTTCTAAAAGCTGGAGCTTTTATCTCTGTCCTTTCCCCTTGACATGTCCCCTAATTATCTCCTAATTATCAAAACTATCCCTGCTTCAGGAAGAGCTAATAGTGCTTTGTCCCTAATCTGTTGAAATGAGCAGTCTGTCCAGTTTTAACTCTTGTGTATATGTAGACAAAGACACATTTATAGGAGAAAGCATTGCTGAGTGCTGCAGCTCTAAGACTCTCTAAAAAGTAGTCTGTTACATAAATTATGTACTTTTAAACCTCTGCCTTGTATTCATTTACACAATTGATCATTGAAACTGCTTTTAGCTATGTCTACCAGAAATGCAGCATATTTAAAAAGCTTCCTTAATATCGTTATGAAGTGGATGTAAGCTAGTGTTTACTTATTACAAACACCTATGAATCACACTTCTCTCAACTATAGTTCATCAGCATTCTCACCAAATCGCTGCTGGAAATGTTCTCTTCCACTGCAATCCCAGTTTGGTGCAGAAGTATGAAAAGCAGCAGACTGTTTTCCATGATCATAGATTTAAAATATTTACTTGCTTGTACTGCATAATTCAGCATGCTGGAGTTGGAAAGCAGTTTGTGTGGTAGCTGATTTCATGCCAGTGTTAGAGAACAGAAAGTCCCTCTGTGGCTCCTGTGTGAAACTGTAAAAATGAAAGACATTCCCATTTCCTTTTCTAACCAATTCAAGTTTGTTTCACCATAAATCTACAGAAAGCTCATGCTTGTGGTATACATGTATTATGCCATAATTTTGAATACTTATCATATAAATCCAAGCATTGATTCTCATGGCTTGTCAATATAGTATGTCAAAATTAAAATACAGTCATTCTGGTAATAGAAGTGTGATGGATAATTCTGATGGTCAATTTGACTACATTTGGAATTAACTCAGACTAAGGTTTCTGGGCACTCTAGTGAGGACCTTCCTTCCTTCCCTCCTTCTCTCTTTTCCTTCTTTCCTTCCTTTCCTTTTTTCCCTCCCTTCCTTCCTTTCCCTTCCTCCTTCTTTTCCTTCTTTCCTCTTCTCCCCTCCCCTCCTCTCTTTTCCTTTCTCAAAAAGATTTATTATTTATACAGGATTCTGCCTGTATGTGTGCCTACACACCAAAAGAAGGCACAGGATCTCATTATAAATGGTTATGAGCCACCATGTGGTTGCTGGGAATTAAACTCAGGACCTTTGGAAGAACAACCAGTGCTGTTAACCTCTGAGCCATCTCTCCAGCCCATGAGGAATTTTCTTAATCACCTTATTTGAAGTAGGAAGACCCACCCTAGATTTGGACCACGATTTCTGGTAGCAGGCCAAATAAAAAGACGTAGAAGGAAACTGTTCTATGTCCCTTGCCCTCATTTTAGCTGGCAAGTTCATTTCTCCTGTGCTGCCAGTCCTAAATTCACCTTTTTTGGGATTCAATCGAAGACATACTTCCAGGAATCTTCCAGGAATCCAGTGCCAGATTGGGATTTCTGAGACCTCCGGCCGCATGGACTAACTATGGAGTCCCTCCCTTTCCAGTGTGGGGTAGCCATTGTTGGACTAGCTGGGCTACATCCTGGGCGCCAGTCTAATAAACCCCCTCCTAATCTATATTCATTCCATCAGTTACGCTCCTTTAGAGAACCCTCATACCATTCTTTATAGAAGTTATAAAAAAAGGCCCAGGACAGCTTGTGGTAAGTCATCTCGTGTACACCATCAGAAAGTGTTCTGTGTTTCAAAATATGAGACAAACTATCCAAGTAAAGGAGCAGATACTTTACTGTCCCTGCTAATAAATGCCTCACCTGTTGTCTGTTCATGATTATTTGGCTGGCCCATGTGAATGGTGAATAAAATTACTCTAGTAATTCTAGGCAACTGTTTTCATAACAGTAAAAATAATTTTCCCAGTATCATAGCACAAATCTCTTAATCCAACACCAGGGAGTTGAGAAAAGATCACGAGTTCCGGGCCAGCCCGGATAGTATTGAGAGACCCTGTCTTAAAACAAAACGCCACTCATTTCTGATCCTGAAACACAGTTAAAATTCAAAGAACCTATTTTGTTTTCCAGAAGGCCTTCATTCTCTCAACTGTCGGGTGGCGGAGATTGTTTGTTAATTGTCTTTCTAGTTTCTACTCTTCTTTCTTATGCACTGCTCCAACAGCCTTCGTCACTGAAAACGACAGATTAGCAGAATTACATTTTGTCGTGATTTAGCATTTCTCCCCTATTTTTTAAAAGGCAGGTCCTGTAATTCAATCCTTGACAAGAATCTGAATGTGAAAACTGAATGCACACGTCCCTAGACGCTCCACCAGGATGTAATCAATACTCCTAACCACAGCTTGCCTTGGATTAGACAGTATTTTTAACCAAGTAGGTTTGGTTGTAAGGACCCACAGCTCTGTGCATGCTGGACCTTGTAGTCCCGAGGCCGCAGACGCTCACGCTGCGTGGCAGCTGAGATCCAGTAGTTACAGCTACAGGGGACAGCTGTAAATCCTAACACTGGGCTGCTACTCACAAATGTACGGCTCTAGGCTCTTCTCTTGCGGCCCGGGAGCTTAGGGCCTCCGACACCAGCGCCTGCAGAATCGCGGCCTGCGGAGGCGTTGGAATCCGGAGCTACGGTGGCCGCGCAGGGCCTCATCCCGCACGTCGGTGCGTCCGCGCTGCTCGGCGCCGCTGCTGGAGCCGGAGCGTGTCCTGCTGTGGGGACTCCGGCGCGCCTGCACAGTTATCCTGTCCTGTGTCGCCGAGGGGTCGGCCTGAGGCTGGCGGAGTGGAGAAGGTTGGAGCTTGGTGTTTGTAGTCTCCGGATGGCCGGTTCTGGGGACCCCCGCCCTTGGTGCAGACCCGTGGCCAACGGTCTGGGTTCCTGGAGGGCTTTGGAGCGTCTCCGGATTCTGCTTCCTCCTGCGGGTTATCTTCCGACGTCGCTTCGCCCTTTGAACTGTAAGCCTTCCAGTGGCCAGCTGTTCTGTCCTTCCTGACCAGATGTTTTACCCCTAACTGCCTTATCCCACCGACTCTTCCCTGTGTCACTGCCCAGTTTCTTTCCATTTAAAACAAACAAACAAAATGCGTGCGGGGAAACGTTAGGTCTCAGTTTGCCCGTCTGTAGCCCCGTTGTCCCTCTGGGCTGTTTGTAAGCCCAGTCTGTAACACTCTGCCCTGGCTATACTAATAATACCGACTTCACCCTTTTGGCTCTTGCCCGCTTTCAGATGCCAAAAACCCACATCTGAGGGTTTTTGAGGGTTTGGAAACTCAGAATACTGTCTTCCCTGCGTTGACCCGATGTGGCTGGGGTCAGCTCCGCATGACTCTGCTTGACTTTCTATTTCTCAGGGTTTTCTTTGTCTTACGTTCTCGTTTTTTATTGATTACTTTCCCACGTGGGGTTCATTGCTCCTTCGGAGTTAAGACTGTACCGTCTTGTGGCTTTTTAATGTTTGAAATATTTAGGTGGGAATTTTCTTCTGTTTGTTTACCTTTTCTGATCTTACATTTCGGTGGGGTTTAGAACTGATTTCGTGTCAGCTGATAGCAGATGGACAAGCCTGCTTGTTGCTTTGTGGTTTGTAATTAGATTATGAGTCTTTAGAAGTGCCCAGAGGGACTGGAAAGGCTTTGACATGCAGTCTGTATATTTTCTGAGTTTCAAAGTATAAAGCTGCTTCTTCTTCTTCTTCTTCTTCTTCTTCTTCTTCTTCTTCTTCTTCT